TTTACGGAACAAATATAAACTATATAGAAGGGCAACTCTTACCTTATTACCTTTCTTTTTAGCCTAGATATTTTAGGGGCCTTTAATAGAGTATTTTATAAAAGAATAATATATAACCTATAGGTCTAATATATACTAGAATAGATAGTCTAATTTATAGAATTGTTCCTATAGAACCGAACTATAAAACTTTTTATTAGAAGATATATTGCTAAGACTATCCCGGTTAATATAGGTATACTATAAAAATCCTTACTTTTACTAATCCTTTTCTTATTTTTTATAAGCACGCTCCTGCCGGCACTATAAAAAGGTAATATAACAGCCTATAGGTTTATAGATAACACTAATATCTTTATATTTAGCAGAAGTATAGAAGAAAACTACAGGGTAATTAAAAGTGCGCACGTATAGTATATAGAGTGGGCGAAAAAGCACAGCGTAGTATTTGCCCCGGATAAGTATTACCTTATACACTTTATAAGGCGCTGTTTAAATACGGTAAATATAAAGGCTATAGTAAATATCTAAGGCTTTATAAAAGGCCTAATTATAAAGCTTTATATACTTAAAGTTTAGGTGGACTTTAAATTTAAATAGGGCCCGCATATATATATTATAAAGGAAAAGGCTATAGTATAAATAGGAGCCCTTACACGGCTAACAGTATTAATATAGGGCGTAAGCTTCCAAAAAGCACAGTATATATACTTAGTAGTTATTAGGCCGGTCCTTATATATAGGTGTACTACCTAGTTTCTAACGCTAGGTATAAAGGAATAAATTAGTAAAGCAAAGATTAAATAACTTAAAACGGCCTAGAACTACTTCCTTTATACTATTATAGGGGTGTATAAAACAATAACGTAATCCACAAGTTAGTGGCCCGCACAAGCTAGTGGCCCACCCAACCACGCTACCGAGGCCAAATATTCCGAATTACTCCACCACGAACAAATATATTTGATGCAGCTACATACTAGCTAGCTGCCTGCCGCCTAGGGCACGTACGTGCATTGTGTTCTGTTGATTCGCACATGCTGCACCTAGGTTTTGCTCGCTGTGGCCGCTCGGCCGGTGGCTCTGCTGCCTCCTCTGCTGCCCCTTCCTGTACAGGTTGTGCACGATCGGCTGCTTCTTCACCTGATAGAATACCCTTTCTAGCTATATACGTGCGCTTCCTTGCCTTCTTTTGTTTCTGGCGCTGATTCTCTATGCGCAGCTTCTCATTTTCGCTTGCAAGCAGCACGGCGTTTGACATTGCTGTTTCGCACGCCTTGATAATTTGGCCAAGGGCCTGTTCTGCTGGACTTTGTGGGCTATGCATACGCCGCTGGCGATAGCGCTTTAGCAGGGCTGTCTGCTTTTGTAGCTCGGCGACATTATGGGGTGTTTCGGCTGTCCAGGATCCATTTGATTGTGGCCGTAGAGAGGGGGGTGGCGGCGTGTGATATCCGGCATGCAGCAATGATAGCACACGATCGGGGTTGTATGGAACTAGGCCAGTAGCTGCAAATCCCGCCCGTATATTGCCTGCATGTAGTGCCTCCTGCCTGGCCTGCCTATATATAGGTAGGAATTCGTGTTTGTCGATGTGGTTGACACCGTGGCCTATAATCTGTTCAACCAGGCGTCCATAGGACCGCTTTAGCACGGAGAAACAGCCAATATCTAGGGGCTGCAGCAGATGCGATGAATGTGCAGGCATGCAGACAATAATAATATTGTGATCCAGGCAGAATTGGTCGAATTCGGGGTTTATATGGCTATCGTGGCCGTCCAATACAAGCATCCGATGCGTGCCAACTGTGCGATCTTTTGTATACTTGTGGAATAGTTTTAGCCAGGCAAGGCCAATTTCATTTGTTGTCCAGCCATTCTCACTAACGCCGATTGACCATTCCTTTGGAATAACCTCGTACCAAGCGGCTTGGTGCATTATTGCTTCAAAGATAACTAGGGGTGGAATTTCAACCCCCATTGCATTGATGCATTCGATAATTGTAACCCATTCTCGATTGCCCGGCTGTACAGTCCTAGGCCGGCCGGCACGGTCTGTTCCAGTAACAACCCGGGCAGTTGCAATAACACCCATTTGGCAGCCGGTCTCATTAAAATTCCAGGTGTCTTCATTAAGAATTCCATATTGTATCTTAATATCTTGCACGCGTTTAAACCAGGCCCGGATAAGCACAGGATCTTCGCATTTAGCACGCTGATAGTCGTATTTGCGATTGAATTTGGATTTTAGGTTGTCATGGCGGCTGATGAAATTTCGCACCCAGTTCTGGCCGACAGTAAGGGGGGTATTCTGTACAACGCGTTGGCTAGCTAGAATGCTGGCTATCTGCCGTACAGTAGCAATACGGGGCGGCATGCCACGCTGGTCCATCGACAGAATCCTCTGTACAAGAACCTCTTCTTGTACAGGTGTAAGACGGCGATTTTTGGAGATAGCACCGCGTTGTGGAGGAATACCACGGGCGCGACGCGTAACCGTCTTTCTGGGCACATCGTATAGTTTCTCAACGCCTCGGAAGGATGTAATTTGGCCGGTCTTGTAGGCTTGAACGCCTAGAATAACTCTGCCTTCTTAAAAGATAGCTTCTTGTTGTTGTGGTGCTGCCATTGGGGTGGTTGTTGGACGACGCGTCGCGTGTTGAGTTGGGTGGGCCACTAGCTTGTGCGGGCCACTAACTTGTGGATTACGTTATAGGGCTGATATTATCTTATTAACGCACTAATAAGGTCTATACGCATAATACTACTAACCTATAGCTAAGTTACCACGATTAACGGGAAGTTAATAGTAGAGCTGTATTAGATGCGCCTTATAATACTCCTAAAAAGAGGCACCCTATAAATTATACGATAACGCCGCAATACTAATATATTTTTTCGTTGTTTAACGTTCTAAAAAACTGCAAATAGCTAAATTATAAAATCTAACTTACCTAGTTAAATATAAGGAAATTTAGATATAGGTAAAAAGTATAGATTACTATAAAAATAAAGTACTATTAATTTAGCTTACTATAAAAGGAGGCTTATAATATAGGAATAGACGTTAAACTATTTATAGGCCGTCGAAAGTTATCCGCCAACGTAGGCTAAAAAAGACTAGATATATAATAACGGAATATACTATATTAGATGCTAAGCTTTAACCCCTAACTTATTATTATAAAAGCGTATATATAATTATAATAAATAAAGGTAGGAAAGTGAAATTTATTTAAAAAATATTGCAATAAATTAGCTTTATCCTATACTTACTTTATAAGCCTTTTTATCTAAAAACAGTTTTATTGCTTAGCTATCCCCTTTAAATAAATTTTACTTTATTACCTTCCTAGCCTTATACTAGATCTATTCCTATACTATATTTAAACGCTTAATTAGTAATAAGTTAGGTTAAGGCTTAGGGTTTAATACAGGCCGAACCGGGTTAAGAATATTAGTATTAAGAGTAAGTTAGAGGGCAGAATAGTAGGGCAGAATAGAAGAGACCGCTAAGAGAGAGTATATAAAGCTGGCGTAAAAAGGTTAAATATAGAAGCGTCTGCTAAGTATAGAAAGGATAAAGGAAGTTGTAGTAGGAAAGTTAAGTATATAAGAAAAGTCTTAGCTTAGTATAGGAAAACTCTTTTATTTACCTTTAGAATCCGCTCTAAACTAAGGTATTATAGTAATTAGAAAAGTAAAGAAACTTAAGAAAAAGGGAGAAAAAAAGCGGTAGTTTTAATAGCGAGCTAGGGTAAGCTCTATAATACTAGTGCATCGGAATTGCCAGCGCCTAAAAAGCTAGAATAGGCAGCGCAGATTTATAAAACAGTACTGTACACCTTATAAGTATATTATTACTAGTATATTTTATTATTTAGGTTAACCTAGCAGAGATTATATTTAATAGATTCTCCTTTCCTAGTATTTACTAGGTGCTTTTTCTTAAAATATTTGCTAAAATTGCCTAAGGTATAAAATAAGTATATACGCAGTTTTATAGGTAGATTTTCGTTACCTAGGTAAACGAAATATATTCTTGGCCTTATTTCCTTATATATAAATACCTTAGCTACTTCCAGCACTTATATAGATAAGTCTAGCTAGGTATTATCTTTACTTTTACCTAGTAAAATATAACTACTTAATAGTTGGAGTTAAATAGGGTGTATTCCGCCCTTTTTAACCCTATAATATTCCGTAATAGCTTAAATAGCTCTATTACGCCGGCATATTTCTACTTCTAGACTAACTCCCGGCAGGGCTATAATAGTATTAGCTAGCTTCTTCTATACTAGGAGTATAGTATATTAAGGCTATACTATAATAACCTTATTTTTACTTTTAATACTAGTAAGCTGCTGCTTAATATTACGTATAGGTTGTTTATACTTCTAGCGTTCCTTAATATTCTTAAGAAGAATATCTTGCTAGCGCTGCTTTTCCTAGTTAATTTTGCGATTAAGCTTTATATACTTTAGATACTTTATAGAATTTCGGAGTTTACGCCTAAGTTGCTTTTATTATTAGAGCAGGTAAAGAACTTTAGGATTATTATTTACTAATATAGATTATTCTAAAGTAAGCTATTATAGCTATTAAGGATTAATCGAGTAACTTATAGTATAAAATACTTATATTAATACGTTTTAGGGCTTAATACCTTATATAACAGCTTATATATCTACTATAATATATTGCGAAAAATAGTGTTTTAAAAACGTCCGGCTATTATAGTGCGTTATTATAAGGTTTTATATAGCCTTGCTAATATTACCTATATATTATATTAATATTATATCTTACTAATAACTACTTAGGCTAAGCTTACTATTTTTATTAAAGGCCTTCCCTCTATTATATTTTAATAAATAGGGCCGGGTGATTTAGGTAAACCCCGTAATTTCGCCTAGTATTTTAATCTAGGGCAGTAATATAGAGTACTAAAGAGGCTGGTTTTCTAAAATAGTTTAGCTATTTAGGGTTCTTATAGGTTGCTAAAGTACTAGGATTTTATCTAGTTTCCTATTTAGAAGTAATAGTAGCTTATTGCGCCCTAGTAGAATATAGAGCCTGCTTAACTTTTTTTTAGATATTAGATTATATAGTGCGAACGCTCTATTACGGAAAAGTATTCTAAAAAGAAAGATATATAGACTAAAAATAAGGGACTTATTAAATATAATTTTAGGGAGAGGAAAGGTGTTTTTTACTAAAGTTAGTATTCTTTTAGAAATATATAGATATTAGCTAAACTTAAAAACTTATAGAACTTATATATTTTTTATTCTAAGGAACTCCTTTATAAATTTAAAGGTAAACTCTAGTAATACCCGATAAGGCCCACCCTTTAAATCCCGGAGCAGCGTAACTAGTATATACTAATAGCAGAGTGTAAGAATAGCTTATAGCCGATTTGCTGTAAAACTACTAATCTATAAGTAGAAATAGTTTTATATTCTATACTATTTATAAGAAAACCTTTTTTTAGTTATTATAAAACTTATTTATAGTACTAGGGTCTAATCCTCTATAAATATATAGGCCTTATCTCGCCCTATTTTCTTTAGATTATGCTTTTTTGCTAGTTTTTATAGTACCTATAGTTTAGCTTAGATATAAAGTTTTAAATAAAAGGGAGAATTTAAGTACCTTATATATACTCCGGTTTATTTTACTATCTATTTTATTGCTAGTTACTCTTTTATATACCAGGCGATATACCTTCTAGTATATCCTAAAAGAGCTAGTATACTTAGTACCCTAATATTTCCTTTTTTTTTCCCTTAGCGCTAACTAAGTAGCTAGTTAAAGAAAGTATATAGTATACGGACGGATATAGTTATATAGTTACGGAGGCTGTTTTTCCTAAGGTATACCTAGCATCTATACTATATTAGTGTTATATATTTTAAGCCTAGCGCGGGTTAATAGGGGAGTATAGAAACTAGTAACCTACTAATTCCACTAATCTTCTATATAATCTAGCAGGTAAGTAGTACTATTTTTATAGTCCTCTTTTATATACTTTTAATTATTAAATAATTCTAGCTATTAGAGGTAGTACTTACGCGGACGGTTTTTATTAGGGGAGAGCTATACTCTATCCTCTATACCTTTATATTACTTATTATCCTTATTGTCTTTATCGGTATAAGTGTTAATATTAGTTAGATTAGTATCCGACTCTACACCGTTGTCTACGTCAGACTCCGCATACTTGCTCGCCTCGGAGGAATTATTAACCGATAGATAACAGCGCATATCGCGTTAGTATATAGAGGTTAACGAAGGGAGGGGATATTAGAGAAGGCTGGGATAGTAAACAATATAGTAGATAGTAGATACGCAGCTGGTCGAGTAGAGGAGAGTAAAGAGGGGGGGGCTCTTGTGTGCGGATCTGTAGCTAACGAGGAGCAGAAGGTTTTAAGTACGCCGCTGGCAGGGCGGCCTTAGTTTGGGTCGATATAATACGGGCGTTAAGAATAGACTAAGGTCGCAGGCGTGCCGTCGCATCCTAGGATAGAAAACGGGCTCTAGGGTGGCTTGGTCTGTTCCGTCGACTATTAGCGCCTACGCTAGCTAATATAGGAAACCCGAAGGGTACGTACGCTCGAGCCAGCGCCGGCGCGTTTAGGGGGTTTTTGCGGCAAGTTAGCCTTAGAAAACGGCGTTATAAGCCTCTAAAATCGGCGGCTAAAACGCCGTTAGATTGTTTAATATAGTAAAAAACTTGTATTTCTTAATTTTTATATAGAGTCCTGCTTTTTATAGTAGTTTTAGTATAGTACGGATATACTTTAGGTGTTTAGTTTAGTTTTAGCTGTAAATTAAAATATTATTTAGGTAAGTAGTATAGAAAATATTAAGATGCTCTTATAGAGTATTATTTATAAATTATTAGAATATTATAGGGGCTCCGGTAAGCCTAAATAGTATTACTAAAGTTTTAAATAGTTCTAGTCGGGTTTAGAACGCAGTAAGCTATTTTTAACCCTTTTTTATATATAGGTTATTAAAGGCAGATATAATATTAATTTTTATAAAGTACTTTATTTTCTTTAGGTTACTTAAGGTTTTTTTTATTAATAGTAGCAGGTAGCGGTTCTTAACTATTATAGTATTTAGCGCTTAGTAGTTAATATAGAAGCGGAGGCCTTTTCTAGGCTTTTTTATAAATAATACAGGTAATATAGCAGGCGAAGAGCTAAGGCGGATAAATCCTTTTTTTAGATTATCTGCTACCTATTTTTTTAGAGCTATTAGCTTATTATAGGATATTAGGTATAAGGGTTTAAAAAAGGGCGTTTTTCCTTTTTCTAACTTAATTTTATAGTTATATAGGCGGTGCAGTAGCAGGCAGTCGGCGTTTTTAGGTAAAAAAATATTAGTAAACTTTTATAGTTTTTTAGGTAGGCAGTCTAGGTTAAAGCCCTTCTTTTTAGATAGAATATAGTTAATATTATCTAGTAATATAGAAAAGAGTTTATATCCTTTTTATAGGTAGGCGCTATATACGCGTAAGAAAACGGGTGCTATATTCTTCCCTTCTAGGTTTTTTAGTGCAGGCGACAGGTACTTTAAGTAGTTTTTTTTTAGAATATTAGCAATTCCTTATATATACGTTGCTTTTTACGGTATATTATAGTATTTATAATAGTACTAGCTTATAAACTATAGTATATTATAGGACTAGTCTAGTATAGGATTATACAGGCGTAGCTACAGGATTCCTAAAATAATCGGGTAATAACTTAGTTTAGTTACCCCTATTTAAATAGTTTCTAAATATTTATTTATCTGTAATTAAACCTAAATAGTATAGGTTACTTTACCCGCTTTAGAATTACCTCTATTAGCTAGTTCTAGGTAAAAAGGGTACTTAAGCGGAATTATTAGAATATAGTAATACTTTACCTAGTTTTTATTAACTAGCGCTTTCCTTTTATAGCTACTATTAATTATACTATACGCTAGAATACTCTAGCCCTAGTATTCTAAATATATAGGTATAATTAATAGGTTAGCTTTTATAACCTATTCCTCTTTAATAGTTATCCCTTAAATAGTAGCAGCGGATACTTATATAGTGCGCGGTATATAAGCCTAGCTATAACCTATATTAGGCTTAATTCTTTTATTAAAGTAGAAAATAGGAAAGAAATAGGTTTTAGCAGTATCTAGGTTCTATATTTAGTAGAGGGCGGTAAAGGGCTCTAGGAAAACGCGTTTTTATAAATAGAGCGGGAGTAGATAAAGCGTTTATTAGGCTAAAAGTAGTTATAGATAAAGTGTTTCTTAAATTTATAATAATAATATTCCTTTTTTTTATATTAAGTTAAGCAACCTTCTAAAAAATCTATTAGGTCTCTAGAGACTTCTATAATTCTTATAGCGCCGGACGCTTTTAGTAATAACTAGGGTATAGCAGTTTATATTTCTATAGGAACAGGTGTTTCCTAATAGGTTTAATTTATATTAGTATATATTTTTAGGGTTGTAGTAGTAGATATTTTATATTATTTACAGCAGTTATCTAGGTTTTAAAGGAACTTTATAAATATATAGTACTTCCTGCTAGGGGGTTTATAGTAGAGTAGTTGTAACGGGTCGTCTCTTCTATACCTTCCAAGTGTCGCACACTAAGGCAGGGTATAGGCAAGTCGTCGTCGGGGTGCAATAGTCTTCAAAAGGTGAGGCAATAATCAATCAAGGTCTAAGACGGGGTTGTTACTTCCAATAGGTAGTATTGAAGTCTTAAGTTGAACACGAGGTTCCTATCTATGCAAAGGAGCGTCCCTTTATATGAAAGCTCCGTCCTAAGAAATCCATGGATCGTAGGGATCGCTCGCGATCCTCGCGATCCAGATCTTACTGATCATGTATGATCCAGCCGATCCATCACGTGATCCTCTCGTCCCGTGATTCCTATTCTTAGATCGTTCCCATCCACCAGCAGTCCGTGGGGGAATCCAGGATCCCTATGCGTCCTACGCGTGACCCCCTTGGTCCCGTGACCTGGTTCTCTGTAATTAGTCTTATCTGCTTGCTTGTCTCCGCGAGTGCCTCTGCGCTCGGGTGGTTTGCGTTACGGGTTGTAACAGTAGTATTCCCTTTAGTTTACGGTTAATAGCTTCTTCTAAAAGGGTTAGTAAAGCTTTTTTAAAGAGCTCTTCTTCTAAAGCTAGGTGTTGGAATTTAGTAAAAAAAATGCTAAATTCTTTATTATTCTAGCAGAGGCGGAACAGTTTAGTATAGGAGTTGCGGGCTTAGTTAGGGTTTCTATATACTTATTCTAAAAGTTCTAAAATAGCTTTAAAATCGGGTAGTTAATAGTTTCCTTTTATAATATATAGCAGGACTTAGGCGTATAGGTTTCTACTTAGATAACTATTTATATAGAATATTTAGCTTTAGAGGTTAAAAAAGCGGTTTCGGTTAATAGTTATTTTCTTATAAATTTAAGAAAGAAAGCAGTAGAAGTTCTTTTAGTTACCCGTAAACTTATTAGGGTTAGGTTGTTTCTTAGAAAGCCGGGCAGAGGTAGTAGATATATTAGAAGTAGATAGAGGCGTTTATACTATATTAGCTATATTTCCTTTAGTTAGTACTTATAGTATCGGGGTTTATAGGGCGGTGTAGATAGTAGGTGTAGCTATATTAATTGCTTTCTATTTCTTAGTAAGGGCTAAAGCTAGTTTATCTATAAGCTTCTTTATCTCTTTCTTCTAGTATTTATAAACAGCTTATAATTATGCCTTTAGTTAGTTACTCTATTATTTATATTCCTTAATTTCCAATTCTAGGGCTTATATACGGAGTGCGGCTTAGTAGTTTTTAGTAAGGCTTTCCTAGGCGGTATTAATATATTTATATATTTAGCGGTAGTACTTATACTATTTATATACGTGGTTAGTAATATAGGCGGTAAATACGGATTCGCTATCCGGTAGAACTAGGGGAAAAAAGTAGGATATTAGGTCGGCGGTGCAGGTAGATAGCTAGGTAGGTAAGGAGCTATATAATATTACGGTCTCGGGCAGCAGAATTGCCCTAGCTAGCTCGGGCAGGTAGGTAGAAGTAATAACTAAATTTACTATATATTCTATAATACACGGTAAGTAGGCGGGTTAAATAATAAAACGTAGCTTAAGAAGCTATAAAAAGGCAGGGCGGCGGTCGGCAGGTATACTCCTGCTAAGGCTCGCATAGGCCCTTATAATAAGGCCTCTCGCCGGGTTCTAATATTACGTGTTACGCTATATAGTAAGCTTTACCGTTTAAGCCGTAATAAATATACTAAAGAGGCTTATAGTTAAGGCTATAGTACTAGCCCTAAGGTATAAAAAGCAGTTAGATAACTTATATAAGCTTTTAAAAT